TAATACAAGTAATAGATCTAATAATACAACCAAGAAATAAAAAAGCTATTCAACTACTACAAGAATTTATAAAATCAATACAGAGTTTTTTATATTGTTGATAAGTAAAGATAGATTTTGACATGCCTAATTTATTAAATTAACAAAACATATTGGCTAATTTCTAAGTAAAAATTTATTAACTTTATAATTATTAAATTAGAGAGTATACCTGGGTAGACATTTCTATTATATGGTCATAATAAATTACCTGGATCAGTATTGTCACTGGAAGACTGGAACCCCACTGGATGTCCAAATTCTTCCAAAATTCTAGTGGTTCTAGTGAGAAATCCCACTGGAACGATTTTCTCACTGAAACGTAGTTGTCTGATTGGCCAATTTATGTAGATCTAAATGTGACATCGACCAATCAAATTGATCAAATAAATCGGCGAAACATTGAATTCTTATGTTTGATAAATTAGTCTACAACTATATAATATTATTATATTTATTTTGTTTGACTTCTAATAATTCATTTAATTTAGCGAATAATTCCTCATATTGATATTTGTCTGTTTTTTGGTAAGTTAATCTATGATTACTTAATGCTGTTGTATTTGAATCGGCCACCTTATTCAAACCTATATCATATTTACCCATCTCTTAAGTTACATTATGATTATTTAATACTATTGCATTATATGGACTATTTTAATGACTTATTTAATCTATAGATGATTCCTTATATTTACAGAGTATTCGATAAATTTCTACGGTTATTAAAAAATTAATTCATTAATGCTATTATTTTGGTAACATGTATTATGTTATCAGGTTAGCTTATGTTACTTCATATGGTAAACTTTGCAATCACAATATTAATTTAGTTGAATGTTCAATTACTGCATTATACCAAAAGAGAAAAGCCACAAAATTAATTTATTATTTAATTAATAAAAAAAATTAAATAAGAGATATGGTAGCATCATAGTAGTAGTATATAGGTAATCATTGTAATCTAGTAATGTTCTTGTAAACGGCAAAGATTAAATTACCCACTCATTATTCCAGATGATTTATTCGAATCAGACAATTAGAAATCACTAGAAGTCACTAGAAGTCACTGGAACTTCCATTCTAGTGATAAAAAATCCTCACTAGACCGGTCCAATGACATCTGATTACTGGAAGCCATTAAGCATCCAATTCCATCTAGTTAAGTTCAGTGATCTTCTAGTTCTAGTAATTCCCACTGGAACGTTCTAGTGGACAACACTGACCTGGATAACCAGGTAATTTAATAGTACCCAGGTAGAAAATTTCTTAGCAGATACAATCTTTATATTAAATAGAATTTGTTAAATAAATTGCTAAAGAAATCTTATCCTCAATACAAGAGTTATATTTAAATAAAATTATAATATATTTCTTCTAATAATAGACTTTAATTTACAAGAAACTATTATTTAGATACTATTTTGTTTTATATATCAAGTACAAATAAAATACTTTAATATAAACTTATATTAAAATGATATTTAATTACAAAAATAATTAAACAATATTTATTGTAAAAGAGTATACTAACTATAAGTATAAAATAATTATATTAAACAATATAATATATATTGTTAAATTACAGAAATAATTAAACAACTTCTATTCTAAAAGTGTATACTAACTATAAGTATTAAATAATTATATTAAACAATATAATGTATATTGTTAAACAATAAATTAGTATTAAAAAATATAATTATTATTAACAAATAATGATATAAAACATTATAATAAAATAAAAATTTTAAGTTATTTAATAGTAAATAATAACTAATTTTAAATTTTGTATTATTTAATATATTGTAGTTGTATTAAATAACGTTTTACTATTGATTAATACATTTTTTGGCAATAAACAACACTTGTAAAACTTCCTGATATATATTCTTAACCGAATAAAAGAACCACCCTTAGAAGAAACAGTATTTAAAATATGAAAAGCATATACTAGAATAGAACAAGTAATTAGAACTATACAATTATTAGAAATACCCCTTTTAGAAGAAAAAGAAAAATTAACACTCCAAAATGCATTTGAAAATAAAAAATATACCAACCTATTCTTATTTATCAAAGAAATACAAGAACTAGAATTAATAAAGAAAAGACTACAACAGTACCTATTTGACAATAGATTTACATCAGATGATAGTGATAACTACTTAGCTCAAGATACAACTCGAAGAGCACACTATATAAAAGCACAATTAAATAAATATCAAAGAACAGAAGAATCAACAAAACCTGCATATGGAATAGACTATCCAACAGATGAATATTGAACACAAAAAGAAAAAAAAAGAGACAAAAATTGTAGAAAAATATTCAGAAGAAGTATTACACTATTATTTAGAACTATATTCATTATGAACAACAGAATCATCTATATTATTAGAAGAACATTCAATAGAAACATAACTGATATTCTTATCAAAAGCAATATATGACAAGTATCACTATATCATCATAAAGAAAATAATATTATGATTAGCATTCCAAGAACACAAAGATTATATTAAAACATTCTACAAAAAATCACACCTAGACAATCTCTTACAACAAATAATACAATATTACCAAACTGCACGAAGCAAACAAGTGGAACTATTTGAAAAACAAAATAACAAACCTCTTACAATAGATAATTTAGAAGAATCTGAAAAAGTTCATTATATAACTACAAAATAATACAACTACAAGAAAAATTATTAAAAATAAAAACTAAACTAACCTATTATTCAGAAAAAGAATTTGAAAGAACCAAAATAAAACGATTAGAAGAAATACTATTGAAAGAATTAGATTTCTTATTTTATAATCTTTTACCAAAAAAATTAGTAAAAGAAAAAAGAATAATTGGACCTATTGATGAATATACTTGGCAAACTATAAATAACCACGAATATAATAGATATAACAACAGACTTATAGCCCATAATACTGACAACTTCAATTCAGAAGAAAACCATAGACAATATACATTTGACCTAATAGACCAATACACAAATAGCAACTTGAGGTAGTAAAATAGAAAATCAACCAACAATAAAGTTATCCCAAGTCGCAATATTCAAATACAACAAAGAAGAATTACCAACTATACTATTAGCACAATAGATAAACCCTGATAAAATATACTACTCCTAGTATGGAATACCTGGAGGCAAACAAGAATACCCCACGAAACTTTTGAACGAATAGTAGAAAGAGAAGCTTTAGAAGAAACAGGAATACTTTTATTCCAAAAAAAAACTTATACTAATAGGACACAGTTACTATCCACCAAAAGATACAAATGGATATAACACTACCAATGCAACCGAAATAAAAACATACATACACTCTGCATGTGATCAAGAACCAATACAAATGGAACTGCATAACCACAGAACATGGAAATACTATACCAAAGCAGAAATACTAGACCGGATAGCATAGCGAACATTCATTGTAATTGGTTAGATTTTGTTGATCATCTTGTGATTT